GAACCTCCTCATCCAGAATAGTATTACCTCTCACCTTTAATTAAAGATCCATCTCCTTGTTTTATTTCGGTGAGGTGAGAACTCCCTTCAGCCTGTGTTTCATTTCACAGGGGGGCTTTGCAGTAGGCACAGTAGCAGGTCTTATAATGGGAACCCTACCTTCAAACAGGTTGCTTTATTTGTAACACTGCCTGAGTTCAGACATTTCAATTAGTATTTTTCCAATTATTATTTATGTTCAACTCTGTCCTGAAGCTATAATTCAGGGAACCAATCCTTTAATTATAGACTTGTTACTTAAGAATTTGCTTTATTTCATAAACCTATAACAGAAAGATGGTGTCAGTGTCCACAAACTCACAAGGAATTGTTTTATGCAGTTTAAAATGATACATAGGCTCCATAACTCTGAAGCTAACTACATCAGAGCAATCCAACACACTCGCCAATGTGTGAGAAGTACAAAAAGAATGAAGCCACCCTTCCCTATACCCCCAGCATGTGTTATGGGGCCAGAGTGAAAGATATTTGATATAAGGTCTGAGATCATGTTAATCAAACCAAACTGTCAACAGTTATTTTTAAGGCATGAGGAACTTCAACCCAACAGATCTTCATTAATTATTGTCGCATTACTGCCAAAAAAAAAGTGTTGACAAGGTGAAAAAGCAAAGAAGCACCAGGGGTGTATTGTAGAGCTACTATCTGCATCAGTATCTGTTTATTTAGACTCTGTATTCGTATTTGGATTTTCAGTATATTTTCTGTTTTGTTTTTTTACTGCCATTTCTATCCACATATGTATGTATAAGTCCAATTGCCCATAAAATATGCAAAACAACATAATATTTGAATCATGTACCTAAAATAAGCAAATAATGATTTGTAGCTATTTAAACACCACCATCAAACACAAACAAAGTCTAAATGTAATATAAGGGAAACAGAACCAAACGTTTTAACACATTTGTCCACGTTGTAGGATTTTTCTTTAAAAAAGAGAGGGAGACTATATAAGGGCATAGGCCAAGATGAATGTGAAGCTGGCCTTAAGTATCTGTGATACATAAAAATAGATAACTATACATAATAGCCCATTGCCCCTTATTGCATAATTCAAAAAAAGAAGGTTGTGCATGCAAAGGGAGTAGGTCTGGATGAAAATCAAGTTGATTTGATGTGTCTGTGTCTGCACTTTTGAGATGGTCATTGACTTCAGTAAGTTTGTCACACAGCTTCAACCCTGGATCAGAGGTAAAAGAAAAAAGCAATATAAGCAAATATGCAGCAATGATTCGAAGGCTCTTCAAATCTGCACATTATCTGTTATCCAAATATTCTGCAGGCACTGGACTAAACTGTAACTCTCTGTAACTCTGACGTGTTTGCACTTTCTGGTACATCAATCATTATACTTTCAGCCTGTTGGGCTACTTGAAATGTACAAATCATATTCACTGTACATTATTTCTTTTTGCACTGGAACTGAGGCACTATGAAAATAACACTGTTAAGTGGCAATAATAATTTATCGACCAGTATCTACCTATCATATTCATTTACATCCCCAAGAGTCACCATCTGTTAAGATGCAGCTCTCTTACATGATCAATACCTCAATGGTTGAACGAAGCAAATGTGGGGAAAAGACCAGAATGACTCCATATGCTATAGGCTTTCATTCGATACTTACAAAGGATAAAACATTACAGCTGGATAGCATCTCGCAGGTTTCATTTGTGAAAATGAGACCATATAATTGGGATCGACAGCATATGATTTATAATATTAGTCCCATTGTACCTTAGTACAATACTTACCTAGATTGTGGTAATGTTTTAGTAGACAAAACATCTATTGCTGTTCTTGGGATGACCTGGAAATGTTGAATTACATGTTCAATCGATCTTGACTTATGTTTGCTATCTGACAAACAAATTTAACTTATTTGGTTGCTTTTTTTCTTTTCCTTTTTCCCCCCTTTTTGCTTTGTTTATTGTGCTCAGATAGCAAACTGCAAGTCAAGTCCATAAAGAGTTGTAAACTTGAGCATGTAAATAAAAAATAATAATGATAGTTCAGATAATTTACCGCTTTATCAGTGGAGGAAACAAAGATATGGTGGATAGGTTAGTGCTTGAAGTATACTGAAAGGTATTTGTCAGCTGTTTTAAATTTGCTGAAATAAATATGTGAACCTCACTTTATGATGAGTTTGACAAATGCTGCTAAAATCTTGAGATTTGTGAACAGTCAAAATGTACCACACAACAAGAACTCAGCAGATGTCAACATCTGCTGAGTTCTTGGTTTTCCTGCGAGGAGAGAGTAAAGAACAAAAGGAATAAAGAAAGCGCTGTTTTTTCTCTGACAGCAAAATAATCCTGAATTTTCTTTTTTTTATTGTGTTTCATGGTCTTCAAGGGCAGGAAAATCTATGTTGATTTCATACATAACAAATACACACAACTCAGCTTGCAAAGTACAGTGACAACAATGAATCCACACTGCTCGTGAACAAAGGTAACAGCGCCAGAAAACACACACAGGAGGATGCAGTATGGCACAGAGGTTATGTTAAGCCACTCAGGAGGAATGTCTGTGTACAATATACAACGTCAGGATGATTTTTTCAATCACAGCACAAGAATGACGAGTTCATCAGGAAAGTTCACATCCAAATCTCATCATGGTACAGTCATGCTATCAGACTTCAACACTGGACCACTTGTTGGGACAATATAGTCTCTGCCCCACATTTTAACAAGTGTATTATTGGGTCGATATGAAGTTCTCTTCTTCCATGGCACTAAAACTACAATAGATGTGCTCAAAGGAGTATTATATTGTACCCATCTAAGCATAGTATAATGAAAAAAATAGAATCGTTTAATATAATAATTTGGTTACATCAACATATTTATAATTTTTCTGGATGCACATTTTGAATTAAACAGTGTCATGCTTCCCACGGGTGTTTCCCGTCATACAGAATGATCCTCTGTCTACAGTTCAGGGGCTTTTATTTACAACAGTGAGTTACATCCGGTTACATGAAAAGATGTCCTCCTGCCCATGTTCGCTTTCATCAGAAATCTTCGTCAGATTGCGGTTTGCATTACACAGATCAGCCCGAACTCAAAGGAAACTGTCTCATGCATAAAAAATGAAAATGAAACAGATAGTGTAAGGCACAGAAAACCTATATGGCACATGGCAGTAAATCAACAACAGTCACCTGTCACATGGGTATATTCACAGTCAAATTAAATGAATAGTTCGACACTGAATGAAAGCATAAAATAAGCTTATTTGCTTTCTTGCAGAGAGTTAGATGAGAAGGTCGATACCACTCTCACGTCTGTAGGGTAAATATGAAGCTACAACCAGCCGCTGGTTAGCTTAGCTAGACTAGAAACAGGGGGCTACAACTAGCTTGGCTCTATCCATAATATGCTAACCCAAACACTTTTTTGTACGTATTAAACAAATGAGGTATAACTTGTTATTTAGCAAGCTTTAAAGATTCTGGTAGGCGGGTTGTAAAACCTTTCGACAGAGCCAGACTAGCTGTTTACCCCTGTTCCCAATGCTGTGTTAGCATTAAGCCGCCTTTATCATTTTTCAAAAGCGCTTGTCGGACAGTTGAATAGCTTCAGAAAACCCCTTCACACACATTTCAAACATCGGATTAGCGGGGCTGTTCCAAAGATTGATGCGGCTTTCTGACATTCACACCAACCTCACGCCGTCTTTGGTCAGCTGTTCAGAGGTAAGAAAGGAACTAGGGTTTGAGCTCCTCTCTCTAGCTCTCTTTTTTCTCTTGTTACACTATTTCAGTCACTTTTCATGTGAACAAGTGCAACATTATGAATGTCTTCCAAGAGAGACGGTCTGAAAATCGGCACCATTATCCCCATTTTTAAACAATATTGTGCAACCTTGCTCTCCATGTGAGCCAGCCTTTCAATCTGCCTTCGAGTGTAGCCGTTCTGAACTGATGTAAACACTTTTCCAACGTGGTCGGCCAAACACTTCGTACAACCCACCCAGCCCTTATGCTACACCCAGCTAACCAGCTGTTGGCCGTAGCGTTATAATGAACGACAGATATGAGAATGGTAACAATGTTTTCATCTGACTCTTGGCAGGAAAGCAAAGAAGAGTATGTCCCAAAATGTCGAACAATTTCAATAAAGTCATACAGCAAACTACGGAGGTGTGAGTGTGACTGAACAGATGAGGCCGAGAGGAAGCCTCATTAGCAGGACATGATAAGGCTCTGTCATAAGCTCTGGCTCAGGGAAAATCTTAAAGCTAAACCTCAGTATCGATATGCTGTGTGTGTTAAGGGACTGTTACCAACAACTTGACAACCCCCCCTCCCTTAACAGGAGTCAGACAGTGCAAGTTAAACTAACAGTAACGCAATGCTTTGACACCTCAGCACAAACACACACACATATGCCTGCACACAGGCATGAGCACAGACATACAACACACTGGATTATGTTCATGTTGTTGGCTATATTATCAGCTGCGATCAATATATTCATGACTTTTCTCGTTTGGAAATCCGTCTCACAGTGAAGGCGAGAGCCTGCAGTACACGCACTTCGATTTACAGTCTACCTTCAGAGATTATTTCAGTCAATTTCAGACTGGTGGCTAAAATGGTCATCTTGTCTCAGTATAACAACTGATAGGAGATGTTCAATTAATGTGTGCACACCTGTGTGTGTATGTGCGTGTGTACAAGCAAATGTGTGCATATGAAACAGATGTGAATCGTGTTTTAGCCATGCTTGAACATACTGTACATGGCACAGAATAATGATTACACAAGTGTGTGTATCTGAAGTAAATGTTACCTGGTAATATATACAATACTATATTCATTTTTACACAAATTCTCTTAACTGTGATCATGTTATTACATGTGTTGTGTACTGAACAGCATTGAAATGGCAAAGTACATTATGGCAGCATGGTGTGTTAGATGAAAGGAGAAGAAACTTTTTTTTGCTTGATTACAGGGAGAGAGAGTATATAAATGTGAGTATACTGTCAGTCAGGGTAGATGAGGAAGCCAGAGAAGGTGCTGTATTTGTTGGTGTTTCCGCCGTGAACTTTGCCCCCGTCCAGCTGCACACACACTTCGTCCCCCACGTCCAGGTGCAGGATGACGCTGTTGGAGGCGTAATCGTAGTTCTGGTCGGCATCTTGAGCAATTGCACTGGCCCTCACCTGAGACAGAGACAGAAGATGTTCATAGGTTGTAAAGATGGAAACAAACAGATACAAAATGAGTTTTGTGGTCTGTGTTAAAGCTGCTGATGTTCCACTTTTTTTTCTTGGGTATTTTAATCCTTTATTATAGACAGCGAAGAGATGAGGGGGGGAGATATATATAACAAAGGTCCCTGATCAAATTAAACTGTGGACACTGTGACTAACGGCCGGCATCTTGGTAAGCCACAGGGAAAAGGCAACTCTCTAAAATCTCTACTAACATTGTGTAATTGTTTTTTGGTTAGCAGCTTTCTGAAGACCAATTTTGCATCCAGTTAAAACCTAAGAACAGGAGGCTGAGGTTGAATAAGTTTGGACAGAGGAGGAATGTGTGTCAAATTTAAAATTTTAGGTGGCGACATGTTTTTATCAAATAACATATTTTAAAGCAGCTATAAGGAACTTTTATTTCTGGTGATTCTGGTGTGGACAAAAGCGGCAGTGTTTCTACCGCTGGTCTTGTGCGTTTATGTAGGTCACATGGCTCACGATACTTAAGGACTGGAGATCTCAGTGTCTACACACTGTCTGGGGATTTCTATTAAAAAAAAAAAGTAGTTCCTTGAATGGCAGCGAGAACGGCCGCTAACAGACGTAGAGCCCTTACTTCAAGGTCACATCTAACCTGAAATTCTCCTCCCATTCTCTTCCACGATAAAACAAACTAGAGATACAGTGAATCACTTTATGACAGGGAGCAAGCTATTTAAAACAAACAACTAAAGAGTTTGGATTGGTTCTGCAGGTTTTTTTTCCCCACCCAGTTTTGGCAATGAGTCATTTTTAGGCATCGGTATTAAATTGAGACAAACATGGCTGCAACTCAAACCGAACACCAGCCACTCTCTTCGCAGATTACTGACGTAAATATGGCACATTTTTGTTCAGATGGCAAAAGTATGAACTGCATTTTTCCCACATCATTGCTAAATGGCACTGAATCATTTGCCTCAATTAAACAAAAATAAATTGTGCTTTTCTTTGTCTAGAATATTCAAGGAACAGTTTTCACTGACTAGCTTCCAACATTTCATTAGGGGACAAACCTCTCTGCTTCTTTTTGACTAATCATCACCACAGCCATCTAAATGTACTAGGTACAGGAAACATGAAAAAAAAAAACAAGTATATTGCAATTTAGTGATCTAATGCAAAACATAAATGGTAGAATTTTAAATAAAACCAAATTCATTCATGAGAACAATCGTTATTATTACTGGCTATTTTGTTTTATAATTAGTTTATATAATAGGGTGATGATTTTGATGGCTTATCTTCTTCGTCTTCTCACAGTAGAACAAGTCTGTTCACCTTATCTGGATTTATTTCCTGTTTCATTCTGTGATCTTGGTGTAAAGTCATCAGTACAGATGCCTTCCTGTCCACTGGGTAGATAGATGAGATGTGCAGTGATCTTTGGCCTCAAACCTCCATCTGAGCACAACCTTTCTTAGCCACCATCAATTTTTCCAGAGGATTGTTACGCTCACACCTGATCCACCTGTTGCAGAGAGTCTGATAGGGATTTTACGGATGGCATCAGGGAGGACATCAGTTTGTTTGTCAAGCAATTACAGCAAACACAATGAATGTGACATACACACATAGCATTGCTATATGGACATCTTGTTTGTTGCAGCTGATCTACAGCAATTGGCTGTTATTTTATTATTTATTTGTCTGTCTCCTGCTTGGCAGGTAATGTGTGTTTTTAGAGCCTTTTCACCCACATCAGCAGGGAGCTGAAATTGATGCTGATGAGAGTGAATGAAAAAAAGGTTGTAGGCTGTACATTAAAAAAAAAAAGAGCTGAAAGACTCTAAAATGAGTAATATTATTTAGTTTCATAGCACAGAGTAATTCGGTTATTCATAATTTTAGAAACATAGCATAGCAGCTTTAGATTGAAAGAAACTCAATAACATTCAAGGCAAGTGAGACAGTGATTCATGTTACGCTGAATTCTAAATAGCACTTTAAAAAAATCTTTGAAAACCATCACCTTGAGTTTTTAAAGAAACACAGAGAAGCTAAGATGCAGGAAACATAATTTTAAATGGCAATATATAAATAAATAAATAAATAAAACTCATAATGCATTGAATGCTAAACATGGGCATAATGCATAGGCAAGGACAGACAGTCAAACAACACCATAGCCTTACCAAACAATGTAATCAGCGCCCCTATGACATAGTTATAACAAGAGCTGATATTATGAGCTTCATAAAACTGGCATTAATGTCTGCCAAATTCAAAACCAACACCCTAAGGATGCATTATCTGGTGTGAAGATCACAGAACCTGGAACCTGACACACTTTCAAAAAGTAATATGGTCCAATGAGTCATTCGTCACTCTTTAATTTACATCTGGACAGATTTATGTGAGGAGAAACGCAGAGGGTGTGATCCACTCTGATGCACTCAGTCTGTAATGGTACGACCAGTCACGTGGAAGTCGTTACATCTGAGGATTACTCTACATGTTTACATAACAGTTAACATAAATGTGATATTGCTAAACATACATCCAATGATATCCCCATATTCCAAGATCCTAATGACCCCATACATGTTGCTATTAAGGTTTCATTATGATTTGGCTGAAGTCAAACGCCTACGGTAGCCCACATGGTTAAGCATAAGATAGGATAGGATAGGATATATTTAAATAGGATATAAAGATATAATAGGATATTTCTTCTTTCCTGACTTGACTTTTCTTCAGGAGAAGAACAATCCCACTTGGCACAGGCCAGGATTCAGCCAACAACATTTTAATGTGGGTAAACATCTGTTTGACGATGAAGAGGGCAGTCTTATTCATTATGTGTTTCTGTTATTTTGTCCACTCCTATTCTAAGCCCAAGTAGGTTTTTTTTGCACCCAGTAAGCAAATCTACTTTAATAAATTGCACTATCACTGGGTAACAAACCAACTACTCAAGCAGACGATCCATTTAATAGTGGAAAATAAAGTACACAAGCGCATACATATTAATGAATGCAAATATGATACCTTCACTCCATCCTTGTCTCCGGCTCTGGGTCTGGGTCTGACTGAGGATATGGTCCATCATCTCCACCAGTCATCAGGCTTCCCTGACTCTCTTATGATCACTTAGACAAATCAAATAAGACTAAACTACCCATTTCTCCTCATCCTCCATCCAATAATGCGTTTTTTTTCTCGCTCATTTCATCAATTCAGCTCAATATATTTCTCCATACAAGCATTTCTTCCATGTAGAGAAGGTGAACGTTTTTAGTCCCCTCCTTCAGACGCAAATAAATCGATACATTTCCTTTGTTTTAATTCAACTCACATCACTCCATTAATTGTTGTCTCTCTCTCCACACCTCACACCCTTTCCATCATCCCTTTCCCATTCGCTACCCCATCGCTGTCTCTTCATCCTGGACCCATCTATCCATCTTTTTGTGTCCTTACACTCCAATGAGATGCAGGTCACGCACACACATTTTCCCTCCCCTGCCATGGCAGTGTTGGCGGGAGCAGCGACTAAGTGTGTCCCTGTCCGGTCTAAATCGGATTGATTAACGGCGAGCTGCTGTGGCAGGTCTCCTGAGGACCCAACCCCCCCCCCCCCCATACAACACGACCCCCTCTCGCCCTCCTTCCCTTCCCCCCCCCTCGCAGCACCCCTCCCTACGTCCAGATGCGTCAGGGCAGGCTATACACGGCTGCAGGCTACGGTAATTGGTAGTCGGACAGCCATGGCAGCTCCCCTCCGCCTAATAGGTCCAACTCCTCAATAACTCCATACAATCACAATAAATGGGGGCACAGGATAGGCTACAGTGGTCAAATGGGCCCATGAAATACTAGCAGGAGGTCAGGATAAGATCCAACACACTCACACACACTCCATCCCTATGAGAGCAGCTCTCCTACTCTTTATTTATTTTATTTTTTTATGAATCTCAAGTGAACACCTGAGAAAAACCACATGGCATATGAGACATTTTGTTATTTTATACTGTAAGACTGCTTTGCTCTGAAGGGACTGAACAGCTCCCCCGAGGAAAGCTAATAGGTTTTAGGAAAAATATAACAGTAAAGAGATTCTGACATCTTGTACATCCAACATCTGTCTACATGGTTGAACGGCAGGATTCCCCTGGTAGTATTTTCAGCTGAGTTGGAGGCTGACAGGCTGCTGTAACTTGTTACGAAAACACTATACGAGTACAATTAAAAGGGCTTTACTTCTCTGCATGTGCACGGACAACATTATTACAATCCCTCGATTAAACCACATGCAGCACATTCAAAAATTTATTTAAATTAAATTCAAAATTTAATGATCATAACAAAAGTTGCAGCAGTGATATTCACACCACCTCATTGAAATGGCCTTTTAAATATGAACAGCAGCTAATTATTATTTGCCAACCAAAAGGACACAGTATTATTTATGGCTTTTCATGGTTGACTTCCTTATGAGACACTTAGCCTCAACTCAGACAGTGGAGATGCTGACATTTAATGTGTTACATTTATGATTAATTCATGGTTGCGTTCTCCTCCTGTATATACAGTTAGCTATTTTATACATTTTATGCACATATTTTTAAGAGTGTGACATTTAAAATGTTATTACAGTCATCATCACTATTATTGCCACAATGGAATATAAGTTAATCATGAATTATAGTCATCTAGTACATTCTTTAAGGCCCACACTGTACTGTTTCTTTTTTTCTTTTTTTATGCTACTACTGCACTACATTTATCTGGCTGTAACTTTTCAGATTCAATTTGACATTAAAATGATATTATGAACTTTGAAAATAAAATGCAATCATATGATTAAACTATATCCAACGGTAAAAAAAAATAAAACTATAACCAGGTACAACAGTAAAATGCTTCTTACGCATTTATGGATCACTAGATCTAATAATTTATTTATCATTCACATTTCACTG